ATCTCAAAAATACTAGAAAATATTCTGTCTGAAAAATGTTTCCAAAGCATTATAACTTCCCAGATTTACGCAAATTACTAAATCACTTCAATTGTCCTTTTTAACCACTTCAAATGGGTCTTTTATTATTGGTCTTCCGAAGGCCCTTGGCCAAGTTTGACTACACTCGAAGCATTGTGTATTCGTCACAGACGTCTCATAAAGAATCCATTTAATGGAAGCCTTTTGCAAGAGTTGCTATTTCCTTGCCTACCACAAAAATGTGAGCGTTGCTTACGCCTTGTTCATGCTGCGATGGTCTTCGAGTATTCGGTCCAAGAGACGGTCACAAAGTCCCTCGGCCCGTTTCACCAGAGTTCGAATCAACTCATCGCAGTGCACTTCAAACATGCCAAGTCGAATTACTCGGCGCGACTCGTACTGAATTCGTTTGGCCAATCGAGTGTAGCGAGTCAATTCTCGAGCCAATTCGTCAAAAGTCGGCCCAGGCGGAGGCCCCGCCTGCTTAATCGGACTGTTTGTGGGTGTAGCAGAAGGCTGTTTATCTGTACTATCACTGCTCCCTTCACGCTCTTCTTCTCCGGCAATAGTTACCGATGGTGTGGCCTTCTCCTCGGGTGGAAACAGCAAATTCTCGACCTCTTTCTCCGCCTTAGCAGAAGAAAAACAATATTACGGAGTTTTGGGTAAGGAAGATTTTCAGTAAAAATTCAGAAAAAAGTGAAGAATGATAACTTGGTCAATCACTGAGTATGAAGAAAATACACTTTTACCCTAAAGACTAAATAAACCCACCAAAATTCCCATTTGACTGGTACAGATTTGGTACATCATACCTATCCTCGAATCATTGCCTTCAACGCAGGCAGATACCATCATGCAACTAGTATGAGGGCGGGTATATTATTCAAAGAATTATTTTACTCATTCATAATTACATGGGCTATAGGCCCAATGTATCTTAATCACTTTTTCTGTATCCAGGCGGGGCTGGACCATTAAAGGCCATTAAATCTGCCTATGATAGTATTTCATTTAAACCATCTTAACCACTTTACAAAGTGGAAAGAAGACGAAACCATCCCATTTCCAATGCCCATTTTCCAATGGTGTTACCAAGAGGCAGTGGAGCAAGCAAAAACCGAATAAAGTTATAACATGATTGACCGCGATTAGTTCAAAGTTTAGTTCATGCAGAGTGCCTGCACTCTGAATTGCAGTCTCATTATCAATAAAATAGTGTCAGCGAATAGAGCTAGCCTACAAGAACCCATAAAGTAATTATCCTTACATGTAGACTCATTAATATCTAAACAAACGTGTGAGAAACTTAATGACAAGAGGAGAGGAAATGTGAAAAAGAGGATAATGTGAGAAGGTAACAAAGGCTTTCATGACTAAAGGTTAAATGAAATGGTGCAAAATGTGGTCTGGCATTTGCAGAAATGGCTCGAATGTGACCAACTATGCATAGACAAAAGTCACGAGAAAGAGAGAATGGTTGATTCGCGGAAGAATAGCTGCACACCCCTTGAGCTCAGTTCTATTTTGAAGAAAGTAACATCGACTATTTTTAGTTATTTTTACCACATTTGCCTTTATTGTATTTCCTGCCAATGTTTTCATATTTTCATCTGGCATTGACATGTTGAATGGTTCCATTCAGAAGAGTAGTCGGCATGATTAACATGTAAAGTCGGCCTTTGCAAAGATATGGAAATTGTCAGAATTGCAAGTGAAATCAAGCCCTTTGGCCAATTTTTTTCACCCTAGTACAGTACATTTACAATATCCCCATTCCCTAATTCTCCTTCCATTTTCATTCAGATGACTTGTATCTCGATGCTATGGCTGATGTCATTCACTGATAGTGGCGGAAAAAACACATGGTATAGAAAGCCGTAAGAGTTATGCTTGTATGTGTATCGACTAAAACACGTCAGAATTGTCGAAAATTGTGAAATAAGGCCTAAAATAGACCAAAGGATATACAATTTAATCATAGTTTATAAAAATAATACAACTATACTGAGTAGAATGGTCAAAGCTTACGAATTATTAAAAATATGTGAATCTTAGAAAATCCTTTTCCTTTCTTTTAGACGAACATACTAATGACGGAAGAGCCATGAAGACATGTTTGAACCATGGCGGGAGCTGAGCTCATCTCATATGAAGCCTAGGTGAGTTTTAATGAATTTATTTAGATAAAGTCTTAAAGTAAAGTCTACACAACACTATTATTTTGATTGGTTGATGGGTGAGCACACTGTCTACCTACCTCTTTGTTCACCATGAAAAGGTATTTGTCATATTCTCTCGTATGT